GTGCCTCTTGTGTATTTTTTTCTGTTTTAGCTAGTGTAGGGTATTTAGGGCGTCGCCTACGTCGAAGCTCACATTTTTATTTGGTTAGGATAGGTTAGTGGGTTTGGGCGTTTTAGTGTAGCATTGTTTGGTTTTGTTTTTTTGTTTTGATTTAGGCGCCATTCTATCACGTCTCTCCCTTTTTTTCCACTTTTTATTTTTGGCACTGTAAATATGCACATGCGCTGCTGGTGCGTTTCTGGACAGCTACGTGAATAAATTGCTGTCTTTTGCCATTTGTAGAATAAATTACTGCCTTTTGCCATATGCTGTCGTCCTTGCTGTTTTTCTGCTCTCCTCTCCATTCATCGAATTTATTTGTTTTAAATGTTGCGGACCAATTCCCTAGACCTCGAAAGGACCGTAACAGACTGAAAAACTAAATGCGAATTTTCTACTTAAATAAACAGCCAATCAGAGCAGAGCTCAACATTATTATTCATGACCCTTCCAAATAAGGTAAAAACAGACCATTTCATTCTAGGGACAAATCCTAGGGTTGTAAAAGGACATGTAAAACCGTTTCTGGAGATTTTTTGCCCTTACCTAAGCCACATACCTTCTATGTAGATATCAGAGAACAATTTAAAATATTGCATCAATGCATTCTGTGGCACCTTTAAAATGCATTAATAAATGGCTCCTAAAGGTCTTTATGAATCTTTTTGACGCTGAAATTAGTAGGATACAATGGGGCTAAAGGCACACATTAAGAAAAAATTAGCTAGTCACTGCACTTAAAATGTATAATTACAGAAAAAATATATATGTTTGTATTAAACATTAATGGAGCAACAGATTTTGTGTGAAAATAAATAATTCAAGTTTTTTCAAGTATTTTGTTTAAAAATCTTATAAAAGTATGAGGTGGCAAGGGGGGCCTTTTATCCCCCACACAGGGTAAAAGGCTCACCAGCATGGGATAAAAGGCACACAGTATTGATACAAATACTTCAGCTAAAATAATGTTGTTGTTTTTTTAACTAATGTCTGTTAATACTAGTTCAAAACAATCACTTTAGCAAAGTTTGTACTATTTTCTGCTTATTTTGAAAAATAAAAATACATTTTTGTTCAATAAATATACTGTCATTAAAATGTTAATATAAAAATATTTTTTAAAATACAGAAACAATCATTTGAATAAGTAAAAATTCTGAAAGCACTGAATGAGATCCAATAATATTTGAATATATTTACAGTAGCAACATCAAATTATATTTTATTATATGGTATGATTAATATTAGGGGTGGGCGACATTCATATCACGATATTTTACACTGTCCAGGCGATATCGATATTATATTGCGATATGAGAAAAAAAATTGCAGGCAAAATATTTTAACCTTATATAACTAGAAAACGTGAGGGATTGGACATGGACATGAAAAGTCTTTTTTTTAATTTTTTTTTTATTGTGCCATTGTTTTTCCACTGTTTGTGTTTGAGTAGGCCAGTGGTTTCCAAACATTTTCTGCCGGGGGGCCCCCTTTTGTAGAGAAAAATATTTTCAGGGATATTTTCTTTTTTGGAAAGTCTCTTATGCTCACCAAGGCTACATTTATTTATTAAAAATACAGTAAACTGGAATATTGTGAAATATTGTCAATTTAAATGATCTATTTGAATCTTTTAACATATAGGCTACTGTATTCCTGTGATCAAAGCTGAATTTACAGCATCATTACTCCAGTCTTCAGTGTCACATGATCCTTCAGAAATCATTCTAATATGCTGATTTGCTGCTCAGTAACCATTTCTGATTATTATCAATGTTGTAAACATTTGTGCTGCTTAATATTTTTGAGGAAACTACTGTATTTTTTTCATGATTCTCTTATGAATATTTGAAATTCTTCTTTGTGTTAGAGCGCTGGAGTTCATCAGAAATAGAACGCGGCATCAGTTTACTGTCATGGATTTGTCGCGTCGCACCGCATCCACAGCAGAGATCATCACTGGGTTCTATTTGTGTTTGTCAAATCGCGCCGCTCGTGTCTGGTGTAGACACCTTGTTTTGGTATTTGTGAATCTTAAGTATATTCATAATCTGCTTTACATTTACCTGGCACTGGAAGTCCTTTCACAAACTTGTAACTTTCATGCTTAGAGCAGAACCATGCATCGTTCATTTATATTTCTACATGGCTCCCTGCAATACAACTCTGATTCTTCAATCACACCATCTAGTGGTCTGTTATTGATACAACCACAACTGCTACAACTGATAACAGAGCGCTCAAGCGGGTACTGCGAGTCATGATGAGGTAATTAAAATGTCAAATTAATATTTTGCATTCAATTATTTACTTATCAGGCAAGTGGCCGCATAAGCGGGAAAATTACGCAGTGTAGTCTTTATCACCCTGCAGAGTTTCTTTTGCAAAATAATCTGCTGACTGTACATGATCCCTCAGTTTGGGAACCACTGGAGTAGGCGATTTGTGCTCTATTAATATGGTCTGTTACGATGCTCTGGGTTTGATTACTAATGCCTGTGTAGTAAGGCGTTGCACCCAGAGGACAAAAACATTCAGACTTGACTCTTTATCGTCATTTGTGTTCAAATTTGCAAAGCGTACCAAATTGAACAAAATAATAAAAATGCACAATTTGAATTCATGAATATATAACAGTATCCACGGTGTAGGAAAATCCATATCATGGAACAACATAATACCGGTTGTCACTTTCATACCGGTATAGCGCCCACCCCTAGGTATCTACATGTTTACCTGGCTGACCTCAGATCATTAACATGTGAACAGAGCGCTCCGTGTGAGGCGGGATCACATTAGCGATAATGAGGTGAGACGGGAGAAACTGTACCTCTCCGTACTTTCATACAGATTATATAATCGGAGAATATTTGTTTTCAATTTGAATTGGTTTATTTTAAAGTAGTCATTTCAAGCTTTCTCTACATATATGTATTAATGTATGTGAGGCATATATTCACTGAGATTCAGGTTGTTTTATTCATGTGCCTGTGAAGAAAGCTCCCGGAGACCGAGACGGCAGAAAGCTCACCCTGTTTGTTTTCTTTATTTTACAAAAGCACATTTTGTTGTTATTAATATATACAAAAATTAAAAGTAGACCCTTTGCACTATCAAATGATGCCATACTCGTATCTGTATTTTTAGTTCTTTTCGTGGTCATCAAGAAAACGTGACAAAATGCACCGGTGCGGTCTTCGACCCTAAAGATTATTTTCTAATCGTTACATTGTTAAAATCATTCTGAAATACTGGTAAACCACTGTTTATTAAAATGCTGAATTTAGTATTATAACAAGAGTGACACCAGAAGAGAAATATTCACAATATCGTCGCTATCCATAATACATTTGCATTTTAGAATTACAACATATTGTGACGCGATATATTGTTATTATACCCCTGCATTGTTTTGAATGTTGAACAATTGTATCAACATATGTATGTATATTCTATATACCGCGATCCAACAGAGGATAAGAGGTACGGAGAATGGATCAGTTTTTATAGGGAAATACTGCCTAGTTAAATGTTTAGCCATGTCACTACTGATTTTTGAACTAGGCAATTCAATCATGTTAACAACTTTACAGCACTTATTGTGAATTTCACTGACATTGTAGCAGTAATGGTTAAATATAGATATAGTTAGACAGAAACTCACCTGTTCCCCTCTCGTATTGGTCTGCTGTATTCCCTGAAAAGGTAAACGGGTGTTTCGGGTCTCGGAAGACTAGCATAAATTGACCGACAGCGCCATCTGCTGTTTTTGGAAAAGGAAGTTGCTCAGTTGCATTTGTGAGAAAATCTGCCTGCACACATTTGTGAGAAAATCAAGCCAAGTTTCCTCATAAAAAGGCAAATGAGTCTCACAGTTGTAACACACAATACATATATTTGTCCATACCTCTGCATTTTCTCTCAAATAGAGTTTTATATTTGCGTTTGTTTGAAAGTCGAGTTTTTCTTTGGCCCTATGAAATCCATTTTTATTTTTTTCCCCAAAATCTTTTTTTTTTTTTTTTTTTCTGGATTCTGTTTTAATGGTTAGATTAAATTTTATTCATCAAAAAGCATGTGTAATTAATTGAGATAATGAAACTTACAATATTAAACAGCAATTTATTAAAAGTTTAACAAATTAAATTTTAAGGTCCTATGAATTTTTTTTTTTTAATCATCAAATTCAGTTTTATTTTTTTTTTTACCAAATTTTACCAAAAGCATCTATAATGTAATTGATTTTATAAAAAATTTTTTTTTTTAACATTTTTATGTATTTAAATTTTTCTGGTAAATAATTTTTGTTGTAAATATTCCTTTAAAAATAATGTTTTAATAATTGTATTATTAGCTGTAGGACTATCATTACACTAAGTAATATTTGTCACGTTGGTTTTTTTCTTTTTTTTCTCCAAGTTAAACCGAAATGTATTTTGACGGGTTGCTTGAAGATCTTTAAAATTTCTCTGTTTATATGATGTGACAATAGCTTTTCTCAAAAAAAACTGTAAAACGCTAATGAAGTCAGTGTGACTCAGAACAGTTTTAGAGATTTGTTTGTTTTTATGTACTCCTATATTGAGGCAGCAGAGGCTGAAAACACAATGAGCGTCACGCGTGCTTCAGTGTGTGTATATAGTAAACGAAACCGTGCGTCTGTGCCATTCATTTACACAGAGAAATGCGGAACATGCTGGATTCATATTTAAATGGTATTTTTGCGGCTTAATATTCACAGACACTAGTCCATATTGCGATTTAAGTGTACTGACCTACTTTTGATGTATCCATCCAAAATGTGTGACAAATTCTGTGACATTCCCCATTATACAGTAAATTCTGTTTTTATGATGGGATTCTTTGATTCTGTCCGCGTTTTCCACATTGCAAAGACCATAGGACCCCTCTAATGACTACTAGTGTCTCTGTCATAATGACATTATTCTTTGTTTCTACAGAAGTGGCTCTGAAGGTTCACCTGAGTGACGCTAGCACTCATCAGCCTCTCGCTGGTGTCACCGTGGAGATCTTCACTAACCACACTCCTGTTGCCTCGGATATCTCTGGTGCCGATGGCAATGCCTACATCAGGTTCCCTTATCGCCTTGGCGACCTTCTTGTAGTGACAGCAACCAAGCGTGGCTATGTACCCAACTCCATTCCATGGCGGCCAAACAGGCTTCCCGGTAATGACCTCATATTGGATAATTAATTCTACATGCCATGACATGTCTCACAATCTCAGAATCAATATGCATTTTTCATGCTGTACTTTAAATGTTGCAATGCCTGAATTCACTAGTAGCATTTGTTTTATTTAAACAGTAAAAACATGGATGTTTGTCTCGCTTTTTTTCTGTTCAACTAAACAGAGTCAGTAAATGTGGAAAAATCCTACTTTTTTCCCCGTGTCTTAAAGTGTTGTTTCTTTGCTTTGATGATTGTATTAATGGGATGGATTACTTCTACTGTAACTCTTGGTGACTGACACATCCTTTGGGTCAATTTATAGAGGATCTGGGACAGGGAAGGAAAACTAAAGTGGAACAGGAATGCAGAAAGCTGTTAGAAAGAAAGAGAATGTTCCATTACAGCTAATGAGATTAACCTACTAACTAGTTGCAGACACAAGAGAATGCGCCTAAATACCTAAACACAGCACAATCACGCAGATGTTTCAGGGTACTGAAATTGTTTAGTAACACTTTGTGGAGTGAACGGAAGATCATACTCATTCTCCTTGTGCAGATTCATAGCAAAAATAAGTCAAGCATCTTCAGAGGAGACATATTGAGATGTTATGGACACGATTCTGAGCTTGCAGGCCTGGTGACTCATCTTCCTAATTATCAGTTCGTTTGTGTGTCTGTGTGTTTTCAAGTCTTCTCATCTCTCAGTCTGGATCTGCTTCCTGAGAGGGCTGCTACTCTGATGGTGTATGATGACGTGGTGCAGATTGTCTCTGGATATCAAGGTAAGAGTTACGTGTTTGTGTGTTGAACAGGTTATTTTGCTGCCTTTTGTTCTGTAAGTCTTGACATTGTGAACTTAACTAAGTTACGTTTATTTATTTATTTTTATGTGTTGTACACTTTTAATGTTGCTCCTTCATAGATGAAAAAAATTGTTACAAAAATGTTTCATATTTAATACTTTGTTTAATAGTTTTATATTTATTTATTTATTTTCTTTTTTTATTTTATTTATCTTTTTGCCCAGTAAAAGAGACAGATTCAACAATATTTAATGTTTAATTGGATGTTTAATAGTTAAATGTTTAGTAGTTTTATATTTATTTATTTGTTTTCTTTTTTATTTTATTTATCTTTTTGCCCAGTAAAAGAGACAGATTCAACAATATTTAATGTTTAATTGGATGTTTAATAGTTAAATGTTTAGTAGTTTTATATTTATTTATTTGTTTTCTTTTTTATTTTATTTATCTTTTTGCCCAGTAAAAGAGACAGATTCAACAATATTTAATGTTTAATTGGATGTTTAATAGTTAAATGTTTAGTAGTTTTATATTTATTTATTTGTTTTCTTTTTTATTTTATTTATCTTTTTGCCCAGTAAAAGAGACAGATTCAACAATATTTAATGTTTAATTGGATGTTTAATAGTTAAATGTTTAGTAGTTTTATATTTATTTATTTGTTTTCTTTTTTATTTTATTTATCTTTTTGCCCAGTAAAAGAGACAGATTCAACAATATTTAATGTTTAATTGGATGTTTAATAGTTAAATGTTTAGTAGTTTTATATTTATTTATTTGTTTTCTTTTTTATTTTATTTATCTTTTTGCCCAGTAAAAGAGACAGATTCAACAATATTTAATGTTTAATTGGATGTTTAATAGTTAAATGTTTAGTAGTTTTATATTTATTTATTTGTTTTCTTTTTTATTTTATTTATCTTTTTGCCCAGTAAAAGAGACAGATTCAACAATATTTAATGTTTAATTGGATGTTTAATAGTTAAATGTTTAGTAGTTTTATATTTATTTATTTGTTTTCTTTTTTATTTTATTTATCTTTTTGCCCAGTAAAAGAGACAGATTCAACAATATTTAATGTTTAATTGGATGTTTAATAGTTAAATGTTTAGTAGTTTTATATTTATTTATTTGTTGTCTTTTTTATTTTATTTATCTTTATACTCAGCAAAGATTAGAAGAACATGGGTTAAAGTATTCATAATTTTATGTGCTGAACTCTATAATGAACCTTTAATGGTGATGCACTTTTGTTGTTCACACATGACTACGACACATACACACTGCTTCACTAGGGAATGAAAAGAGTGTGTTAATGAACTACCTGTAATGGAGGAGAAATGTGGAGGAGAGAGTGAGGGTGTGTCTGAAGTCAACGGCCCGACAAATCCCTAGTGTTGTGCGCGTGTCTGTGTGTTAGCATCGTTTAGCTTCATGTTCATATATTGTCACTTTTATTCTGCTATGTAAACACTAAACAATAATCAGTATTTTGTCTTGAAGGGGAAAAAAACGGTGTTCGATAATAAGAGTTTTAACTAAACTAAGTGGGATTTATGTATAATACAAGAAAAAAAATGTAAATGGGGTTAAAAAAAAATCTGGGGTCATTAAGACATTTTGTAATACTTTTTTCAGCACTGATTTGTTATATTAATTCAAAATGACTGGTAAGACTTTTGCAATTAAATTATTTGTCAAGTGATCCTGAAAAAATATATCATAGTTTTCACAAAAATATTAATAAGCACAAACTTTTTATTATTATTACCAATTATGCATTGAAAATATGAAATGTTTCTTGAGCACCAAATCAGCATTAGAAAGATTTCTAAAGGATCATGTGACACTGAATACTGGAGTAATTTCTATAACAAAAGAGAAGGACACTGCAGGATTGTGAATACAATCATAAACCAGTGATAACATTTCCTTTAAGGGACCATATTTCCCCCTTTAAATGTATTTCCAGAAACACATATTCGCAAATTATCTAGCCTTATTAAATATATGCATCATTTTCCACAGTTCATTGGTAAAATAGAGCAAAACAGTTGCTGACAATATTGTGTCTTATGAAGTCAGATTATATTAACTTGAACATGACTTTATTTATTTATTTATTTTACAATTGTTTAAAGTATAAAATAGTGATCTTAAAATGAGGACAAATGAGCATCTGGCTCAAGCCTGTGCTGGTAGACAGGCATGATATTTTAAAACCGGAATGTCTGACCCAAAACCAGATGAATGGCCACCTATCACAAGAATAAATTAATAAAAATTCTATCAAAAAAAACACACAAAATATTCTCTGCAAGGTCTGAGCTGGGCCATACTGATTTGCTTCTTAAGTAAATCTATATTGTTTTAAAGGATATTTAGACATTTTTACTGGAAAACAAGACAAATACTGAGGAGAATAATGAAAATTTCCATTGAATTGTTTGGGTAACTGTGATGTGGCAAGTGTAATGAGAATCATTCTGTACTGTTGTCCACGTGGCTCATGAGACTTCATGCTAATTAAACCTTCCTGTGTGACTGTGATACCAAACTAAAATGAGAGGCTGTACACACACACACACAAACACAAGAATGAGAAGAATTTACTTCAAACCAATATTTCACATTCCTTGTTTTTTGTCTCCGTTACCCACATGTGCTCTTTTCTTCCTAGCTTACACTGTTTTCCTTTGCCCTTCCTCCTAGCAACCTCTTTCTTTTGGTAACCTGTCCCTTGGTGTGTGTGATATTTCAGGAGAGAAGCATGTTTATGGGTCTCAGGGGAACTCTAACACTGCACTCTCATTCAGAGCGTCGCCCCAGTCCTGTCCCCTAAAAACACTCAATCACCACACGCTTGTAACAAAAGCAGAGCCTCGGACGCATGGCTGAAACACACACACTCGTGCCACAGATCTGCTATTGTGATCCTCCACTTGGAGATGTTTATCTCACACTTTCACCTGTCGCTCAGAGGTCCCGTCTCTGTCCACCAAAGCATTTTCAAACAAAACACCTCTCATATTACATCAGGTGTGTGTGATGTGCATAAAAGGCTCTTCTGCAGAGAAGCTAAAGAAAAATAAAAAGTGTTAAGTGAGACAGAAAGCAATGATTATTTTCATGGATAAATGGCTGATAAAAAATACATTTCTACCATATTTTGTCTAAATAAATGAAAAATAAAGCACTACATTTTAAAATCAGTTGTTTTAAATGCTACAAGTAAATGTAGTAATCATAATATTATGTACAGTATGAAATATGGATATTCATTTTGAGATTTGCTAAAGATCAAGTTTAACACTGTTATTAAAGTTTTTAAAATCAACTGTGAGTGTTAGATGGCAAAGGTAAACCAAATATGATCATGCACAATGAAATATCAGTATTGGCTGTTATTGTATAAATGTTTGAAAATCTGATATCGGCTAGTAACCAATATTTTACTTGTACATAAACAATATTTTCCTTTTTTTATTTTTATTCAGTTAAATTCAAGTGAATAACTACTTTTTTTCAGAAAGGATGCATTACATTGTGACAGTAAAAACATGTATTATGTTACATTTCTTAAAAAATGGATCATGATTTCTATTTCTAAATTCTTTTTTTTCTATTTATAACGTTCTATTCATCAAAGATTCCTGGAAAAAATATATCACCATTTCCACAAAACTATTAAGCGGCACAACTGTTTTAAACCTGGATAATGATGAGAAATGTTTCTTAAAGGTGGGATAAGTGATTTCTGGTAGCCAATGTTGATATTTCAAATCACCAAAGCAAACACGCCCCTACCCCAAAAGGGTCTCGCCCCTATTTTGATAGCTCCGCCCCACACATGTATACATACGCAACCCAGGCAACGATTATGGCGGATTCTGCTGTGCCAGCCGGGAGAGGGTATGATGTCATCAATAGGTAAAAGCAATGTGTGTTACTATGGTAATACAGGTCGAATGTGTTTTGGTAGTACTGTGTTTTAACGTGCATATGTGCGTTTTAACAGCATATATTAGTTCTGTGAAACAAAGCAAAACCAATGTTACTCACCTATCGAGAAGAAACAAAGCAACCTCGGTGTCCGATCGCAGGCCTTCCCGCTCCTCGACTTCTCTCCAGCGCTGGAAAGCTGATCCGATATTTACACGGGTCCTACTTCTTGCCTTATCGTAAGCTTTCTTTTGTTCCGCAGACGGTTTCCTCTTTTTTTTGTATTTTTTATTTTTTTATCCGCCATCTCTATCTTTCTGTCGTGGCTCGGCTAATGTCCATCCTGTGCACTGAGCGCTCTCTCGTCCCCATCCTGAGTAGACACGCCCCTTACTGCTGATTGGCTACAAGTTTGTTTTGGTACTCGGCCTGGCTCAGTTTTCTAAAGCGTTTTTGAAAAAATACATAAAGGATATTTAGACATTTTTACTGGAAAACAAGACAAATACTGAGGAGAATAATGAAAATTTCCATTGAATTGTTTGGGTAACTGTGATGTGGCAAGTGTAATGAGAATCATTCTGTACTGTTGTCCACGTGGCTCATGAGACTTCATGCTAATTAAACCTTCCTGTGTGACTGTGATACCAAACTAAAATGAGAGGCTGTACACACACACACACAAACACAAGAATGAGAAGAATTTACTTCAAACCAATATTTCACATTCCTTGTTTTTTGTCTCCGTTACCCACATGTGCTCTTTTCTTCCTAGCTTACACTGTTTTCCTTTGCCCTTCCTCCTAGCAACCTCTTTCTTTTGGTAACCTGTCCCTTGGTGTGTGTGATATTTCAGGAGAGAAGCATGTTTATGGGTCTCAGGGGAACTCTAACACTGCACTCTCATTCAGAGCGTCGCCCCAGTCCTGTCCCCTAAAAACACTCAATCACCACACGCTTGTAACAAAAGCAGAGCCTCGGACGCATGGCTGAAACACACACACTCGTGCCACAGATCTGCTATTGTGATCCTCCACTTGGAGATGTTTATCTCACACTTTCACCTGTCGCTCAGAGGTCCCGTCTCTGTCCACCAAAGCATTTTCAAACAAAACACCTCTCATATTACATCAGGTGTGTGTGATGTGCATAAAAGGCTCTTCTGCAGAGAAGCTAAAGAAAAATAAAAAGTGTTAAGTGAGACAGAAAGCAATGATTATTTTCATGGATAAATGGCTGATAAAAAATACATTTCTACCATATTTTGTCTAAATAAATGAAAAATAAAGCACTACATTTTAAAATCAGTTGTTTTAAATGCTACAAGTAAATGTAGTAATCATAATATTATGTACAGTATGAAATATGGATATTCATTTTGAGATTTGCTAAAGATCAAGTTTAACACTGTTATTAAAGTTTTTAAAATCAACTGTGAGTGTTAGATGGCAAAGGTAAACCAAATATGATCATGCACAATGAAATATCAGTATTGGCTGTTATTGTATAAATGTTTGAAAATCTGATATCGGCTAGTAACCAATATTTTACTTGTACATAAACAATATTTTCCTTTTTTTATTTTTATTCAGTTAAATTCAAGTGAATAACTACTTTTTTTCAGAAAGGATGCATTACATTGTGACAGTAAAAACATGTATTATGTTACATTTCTTAAAAAATGGATCATGATTTCTATTTCTAAATTCTTTTTTTTCTATTTATAACGTTCTATTCATCAAAGATTCCTGGAAAAAATATATCACCATTTCCACAAAACTATTAAGCGGCACAACTGTTTTAAACCTGGATAATGATGAGAAATGTTTCTTAAAGGTGGGATAAGTGATTTCTGGTAGCCAATGTTGATATTTCAAATCACCAAAGCAAACACGCCCCTACCCCAAAAGGGTCTCGCCCCTATTTTGATAGCTCCGCCCCACACATGTATACATACGCAACCCAGGCAACGATTATGGCGGATTCTGCTGTGCCAGCCGGGAGAGGGTATGATGTCATCAATAGGTAAAAGCAATGTGTGTTACTATGGTAATACAGGTCGAATGTGTTTTGGTAGTACTGTGTTTTAACGTGCATATGTGCGTTTTAACAGCATATATTAGTTCTGTGAAACAAAGCAAAACCAATGTTACTCACCTATCGAGAAGAAACAAAGCAACCTCGGTGTCCGATCGCAGGCCTTCCCGCTCCTCGACTTCTCTCCAGCGCTGGAAAGCTGATCCGATATTTACACGGGTCCTACTTCTTGCCTTATCGTAAGCTTTCTTTTGTTCCGCAGACGGTTTCCTCTTTTTTTTGTATTTTTTATTTTTTTATCCGCCATCTCTATCTTTCTGTCGTGGCTCGGCTAATGTCCATCCTGTGCACTGAGCGCTCTCTCGTCCCCATCCTGAGTAGACACGCCCCTTACTGCTGATTGGCTACAAGTTTGTTTTGGTACTCGGCCTGGCTCAGTTTTCTAAAGCGTTTTTGAAAAAATACATGCCCTACCTTTAAGCACCTGTTATTCAGCTTTTCCATCACAACAATAAATTACATTTTACAATATATTAAAAATACAGCTATTTTAAACCAGAAATTGTTTTACGAACCACAAACTATTGAACAATAGTGTATTGTGCACCCCTAGTACTGAAGGTCTTGCTTTGGGAGTTATGTTGGTTTAGTGGGGTACTAAGGACCATGTGGGCCATAGCTTAGTCTCATGTCTATGGTATGTAAGATATGCCACAATGGAAACATAATGATCTCTTCGATCTCAAGAGACACACGCTGCAATACCAGCACTCCATCAGCTACTGATCCATTCCATTTACAAGGAGAGAGAGATGAAAGAATGGAGTTGCATGTATTATGTCATGGATATCAGGTCATTAACCTAATGTATGCTCATTTCTGCCTTCTTATTTTGCTGTTTGTGTGTGCGTTTACATCTGTAGGTTCAAAGCTGCAGCCATGGGTGCAGTTCCAGAGAAGAGCATTGAGTCTTCCTTCTAATGCAACCTACACCAACCTGACCGCCTTCCTCACAGTGAGCAGTTCAACACAAGACATGCAGTACTTCCCCTACCTGCAGGGGCTTCATCCCAACTACGCAGGTAACACATTAGAGAGCTAGGAAGACTAGGGTTGGCATTACATCCAATTTTAGTAGTCAATACCAGTGAAAATCAACATATGATATGCTGTTGATTGAATATTGCCAAAAAAAATTATGCATTTCATTTGCATTAAATATTTAAATACATTAAATATTTAATGAGCATTAAAAAGTGTAAATGGGGAATGCTACTTTTATTTTATCTTAGTTATTTTTACTCTGAATTGATCAGTACTGCTTTCAGAATAACAGCTTTTTAAAAGAATGTTGTTCAGCTCTGAATAATTAATTGTTAAACCATTACAGAACAAGTTTTGTCATCCATAATGATGATTTATGCTGCAAACGTGAGTGCACTCTAAAATTAATGAAACTTATTTTCTGCTGTGGTCATGATTAAAATGGATGGCTTGTTATGTCTGTCTGATACTATATATTTTAGATGACTCGTTATCAAGATTTAATATAGGTCGACAAGTAACATCAAGGGTGGATCCAACAAAGTATTAAAATTGTTTCTTGTACAGAAGTGGAAAAATGTCTTTAAAGTCAAACACTGAAATGTATTAACATTGCAATAAAATGCATAGATCAAATGATCAACTTCTTTCAGCACAGATGCATTGAATTGATCAAAATTAACAGTAAAGATAAAGTTACAAAAGAAAAATCTTTTGAACGCTCTTTAAAAAAAAGAAAAGAAAGAAAATCCTGAAAAAAATGTATCGCACTTTTTACAAAAATGTTAAGCAACAATGAATATAATATAAAATTTTCCTAAGCAGCAAAACATATTAGAATGATTTCTGAAAGATGATATGACAATGAAGACAGTGGAGAAATGATGCTGATAATTCAGCTTTGCCATCACAGGCATAAATTACATTTTAAAATACATTAGAGTAGAAAATTATTATTTACGATTGCAATAGTATTTCAGTGTTACTGTTTTTACTGTATTTTAATTCAAATAACTGCAGTCTTGGTGAGCATAAGAGAGACTTATTTCAAAAATAATTTTAAAAAATCTTACCGGTAGTGTCTATAGTATATTCTTTATTTCTGTCTTTTTTCTCACCTGTTTTGTATCTTTTATGCATACTCTTTCTCTGATAGGCGTTGATCGAAAGTTCGAGTTGACTCCTATAGCTGCTATCAGTGTCCATCTTTTGGGAAGCGATGGGGCGGAGCTTCATGTCAGTGAGCCAATCAGTGTGAGCGTTCCTCTTCCTGCAAACAGTGGCTTGAAAGAGAATGATCACATCCCCGCATGGAGGTTTGACCCTAAACTGGGTGAGTTTATAACACATTCATCTTATAGTAGATATTAAAGCTTTCCTGTTTACAGCCTCTGTGAACGTAAATCACATGAACTGTTACTAACAAATTACAATTAAAGGGTTATGCAATGAATTGTTACACCAGAGGTGCTAAAGGTGTTTCCTACCCGAGGCAAGATTACTCTGTGTTTGTATGTGAGGTTGTGATTTCTTCAAAGCCTTTAGATTTCCTGTCTTCCTGGTTTCTGAAGCGAATAAGTCCAAAGGAAGTGTTCAAACCTGAGCTGGGTGGGAATTGTTATCAGATGGTTTTTGAATCTTTCTGACGGAATTTTGATGGACCCATTTCCCAACTTTCTCACACACAAAGATCATTTTTTTCAGGACTAAATTCTTTAAACAAAAAATAAATGCACTTTTCTTCGTCACCACAAAAAGTCTTAACTAGCGAAGTAAAGAGACATCCTATAAAGTTATAGTGTTTTTTTTTTTAAGATTATACAGATTTCCGTGATGAAAAGGGAAATTGTTCAGTAGGCAAATACTCATAATCAAATATTCAAATAATAGACAAACACAATAAATCTGTTCCAAATCAAATCCAAGTCACAAGGGGCTTTCACACTGTGGCTTTCATTTCTAATCCCAGACTGATGTATAATTCACAGCCAAAGTGTTTTGAATTTTTAACAGATATCATAAATGCATTGCTTAAAATGTTACATTAGTGAACATCTATGGAGTTTCTTAATCAACCAGGTTACTCTGAATTAGTTGTCGATGACAAGCGTCACTGAATTTCTCTTGTACTTGATAATCTAGAGTTGCTTTTTGGCTTTTCTGTTGTTTTGAAGGCTCATTTGGTGTATCTGCTGGCTTGTTTTTGGCTTAAGTGTGAAGTAACACTGGAACAGTCATCTCTTAATACTTTAATTGTCTGGAGCGCTTTGTCTCTGTGAGCATATACAGAATTTGTCCCACCATGATCTGACAGACAAAGGTCTTTACCTCATAAATCTAAACTCGGAATATCCCATAATTTCCCAGTGATATGATCATCATTGCCGTAATTGCAGCCCAGAGCCAATCTGGTCATTTCTTCATTTCAAACTAAATTGACGCAGGAGTCTCAAAAACAAACGCATTAAACGCAAGAATCCAGTGTTGTGTGCAAGAGGCAGGAAGACGGGCAGAGGTGGATCAGAATATGTGCATTAGGGCTGTCAAAAAAAAAAATCTAATTTCAAATTTAAAATAAAAATCCACATTCGAATGCAAAAATGTTGCATTTCCTGAACAACATTTAAAAAATTCAATGTAGCATACAAGTTAATTTTAGATATTTTGCTCCAACCACTGGTTAATGAGATGATAGAAATAAGAGAAATAAGTTCCAATAGACTAATATTTGAAGTTACGGTATGTTTAACTAATGTAGGTTAATATGAAGTAATCAGCAATCGTAGGTTTTTATCCATGCTTTTTTATACTAGGTTGTAGGTATACACTGATTGTCTGTTATGGTCTATGGACCCCCTGAATTAGCCTTGGCCACCCCATGTATAAATCTCTAGCTCCGCCACTGCTTATGTGAACCATGTAGTCACCAGTGCAGTGTGTGATTGCTTGTCTGGCACAGATCAGATCAATAGAAGCTCTGGTGCTCGTGGAGAGAAAGCAGAAATATTATAACCTAACAACAACAAATGCTGAATTCCCTCTCATTATGATCTATAATCTACTACACTATACAGACATTTTATTGTTCTTCCTTACCTACGTTATTTTTTATTTTCTCAATATTTTCTTCATTATTTAGTATATAATAATCATAATTCATAACCATAATCATTCCATCAACATACACTGCCACCAAGTGGCAACAAATGACCCCATCCTCAAATGTGTACCATTTATATATCAGCTTGGTAAATTCAACATGTGCATTCATTTCACATGGTAAATGTAGTTAAAACTCTTGGAAATGGAAATGCTTGAATTTGAATCATCAATCCTATTTGAAATGTTCACCTTAATTGGGAATGCATGACAACCCAGATTCAGATCCTGATTCCTGTGGTTTGAGTGGTGTGTGTGTTGGCATGGCTTTAATCCCTGTCTGACCCTGTAAACAATTGGCAAAGCATCCAGACAGAATAATGCAGTAAAAAGTCTAATGAATGCACTGTAAGTGATCAATAGAGAAAGCTGATAGGATGTCCATATGGTGTGAGTGTTTTGAGTGTTATCTGCACTGCCTGGTCTCAACGCTCGACTCAGATCACCTGCTGCGCAGACTAAAGTCCTAAAGACTGAGGGTTTTATTCCCTTTGTCATTAATTATTGTATTTTGTTGTACTATAGTTGTGATATTGCTGACTATCCATAATGTACATTTTACAGGTTAAATAACAAAATGTAATGTGAATATCATATAATTTAGTTTTAATTTGTTTTGTGTGTTTTGTGTCTGTGCAGGGGCCTGGTTGAAGAGCAGTCTGGGATACGTCCAGAGAGAGGGGAAACAGTTAACTCTCACATACATTGCCCCTCAGCTTGGCTATTGGGTCGCAGCCATGTCTCCCATAAACACAGGTAACACTCATCCATTTCTGGGCATTTTTCTGTTTCTCTATTTTGTTTAGATGACTCTGCATTCTTTGACCCTTTTATTTGGCCATTAATGGAGAGAGGAGCCCATCGGGCAGACGTACAAGTGCTTTGTGGCAGACTGAGTTATTGACTTCTGTAGTTGTTTGCACATTCACTGTGCTATTCATATCCACCAGCTGAGAGAATAATGTCATTATGTTGGGGGATTTTAGGCCAACATGAAAATTATGTTTATAGGAAATCTCTCCTGTTGAAAAGTGTTATCGATGGATGCTGTAAAGTGGAGGTCAGGAGGACAGTGAAAATGTGAATAGTGTGAAGTGAACAGGATGGATGGGTTATTCTATGATAAGCTCCAAGTATGTATTTTTTTGCTGTAGGTCCAGTGGTGGCGAAGGACATTAGCACTTATCACACAGTCTTCCTGCTGGCCATACTAGGAGGCATGGCCCTGATACTGCTCTTCCTGCTCTGTCTGCTGCTCTACTATTGCAGGTGTGTCTTTTTTTTTTGTCAGAGGAAGTACAATGTCTCTTAAAAACAGTGTGCATTTACTGTTAAATTGTAACATAGTAACTAGGGGTGGGCGATATGACCAATGTCTTATATCACGGTCTTTGACATAAAGTTTTGATGCCATAGAAATTTCATAGTTCTTGTCACCAGTGTCAATATCACAAAATAACTCAAGCTCACTGAAGACAAGTAAACAGTCAGTGATTAAATAAGAATAAGAACCTAATTAAAACCTAACCCAAAATCCATTACATAGGACAAAAAAACTCATAAAAAAGAAATGCTACATACATTGTATAAAGTAATTATATGTATAAAAAACACTGCATATTCTTCACTGTGCAAATTAAATATATCTTATTAAAGTTACAAAAGTGAATTAGTCAAGAGCAGTGGGAGATTTTCTCTTCTTTTTTTTTTATTAACATGAATGACAGACAACAGGAATATTAGACTGCTGTCACTTTAAGAGCTGACCAGATCCAATATACTGTTAAACGTCATGTTTTCTTTCTCAGATGTTTGCTTTCACTTAAGACCTAAATTACTGTGCTTACGAGGATACTTGCAAAGATGGGCATTTTTGACACAAGTGTGTGTATTTAACCGTTCATGGCCTATAAAGCTGCAAAAATAAAAGTTCAATACTCCCACGCTCTATGACCACCGTCTTCACCTGCGTGCCTTTCAGCAATCTTTCAGACAGCACCTGCATATCGCTAAATGAGTTCTCTTTCACTGCTGATTGCATTTAAATGGCTTAAAATAACTTGTTTTAAACCGCAATGCTTGAAAATGTGTTCCAAGGGTAAGTTTTCGTGACCACCGTGCACACAACATAGTGAGCGTGTAACCACAATAGAGACGATAGTCGAAAATCTCTACCGCTTGAAAAATTTCTACTGGTATATCACCCACCCATAATAGTAACATACAGATACAGTATGACATTAACATTTACAGGATGATGTTACATCATCTGATAGGTTAAGGGAAGTAAATAGTGTTTTGGGAGTTAGTGATCTCTGTGGTCAAGAGGAAAATTAAAGTTTTCCCCTAGTGCTTATGAGATCATGTTTCTGTGCTTTCAGAAGGAAGTGTGCCCGCTTGCGGCCTGCCCACAGGAAGTTTACTCCATCCTCCGCTTTAGATGCCTCTAAACGAGACCAGGCTACTTCCATGTCCCACCTGAACCTCATCAGTGAGACTCACCTAGACCACAATGGGGCAGAGCCGGACATGCACACACCTATGCTTAAACCCACCCCCTACGACTCCTCCACCAATGAGCTTGCAGCTTCGCACAGCGAGCTCCATAGCCGAGGATCCAACCACTACAAACACTCAGTAGAGATATTTCCCCTCAAATCTGCTTGTTCAAACAATCCTTCCCAGGGTTATGATTCCCCGGCGGGACGTGGAGAGTACCGGCGGAGCTATACGTCCATCACGACTTCATCCATCCATCCCCTCCACATGTCCATCTCATCCTCTTCCCCCCATCCATTGCATCACACCACCTCTGCAGGACGACTGTCATCGAAGAGTAAATCAAGCTTGCGTGAAAACTGTCTCTCTCCTGTTTCAGTCGCATCCACAAGTCCTGCCGGATCCCCAGAGCGGGAGCAAGGAATCGAGCGGCGGCCAGCCGACTACATGCTGTCCCGCTCCGTAGACCATCTGGAGCGTCCCGCCCCACTTCCCCGACCTGGAGCCCTGCTCTGCTGCACCTCCGAATTGCAAGTCAACCAAGGGGAAGAAACCTACCGCAAAGCTCGTCCCACCCTCGTCATCCCCGCCCACTACATGCGACTTCCAGGGACGCACCCTCTGTCAGGCCAAGCGCTGCTTTTGCAGTCAGACGAACAGAGCGAATTGGAAAGCATTCAGGCAGAACTCAGTGCGTGCCATCAGCCCCAAGGCCAAGTCCTGCACCCGTGGGGCAAAGGAGAGCAGGAAGGAGGGACGCAAGGGAAGGGAGCCGACCGAGGCGGAGGAGTTGAGGAGTGGATGCTGCAGACAGCTACTCTTCCTGCTGATCTCTCCATCCCCAACTCACTCAACCAAGCGGGCCTGGATGTGGTGCAGATGAACGGAGAAGATCAGCTTCTGGCCGAAAAGACTTTGATGGAGCTCCGGGGAGGAAAGCCGCTCCCTCACCCCAGAGCTTGGTTCGTGTCACTGGACGGCCGCTCCAATGAGCACATCCGCCATTCCTACATCGACCTGCAGAGGGCAGGATGCAACAGCAGTTGTGTCGGAAGCAACGACGCCAGTCTGGACTCTGGGGTTGACATGAGCGACGTCACACCAGGGCGGCGTGTTCGTAATAAAGTCGGGGTTAAAACTGAAGCTGGGGCTCTGCCTGTGGTGCCCGTGGTCGAATATACACCGCTAGTGTTTGTAGAGGACTCGAATGCTAATGCGGAGAGCAGCGGTAGCCCAACACCAGTCTGCAGTCCTGAAGAACACTCTCAAGGGGTTTTTTTGCAGGAAAAAGAGAGGGAAGAGGAAGACGAAGGGAGTTTGTCTCCCCCATCGCCTCCACCTGAGCGTCCTTCTCCACCTCCTCTCCCTGAGCCTGTGGTTGAAATGGCAGAGGAGACAGGGACAGATAACAATGTTTTCAGGACTGAGGAGACTCAAATGCACATGGGCAGCAGCCGGCCAGATAACCTGGTCGTCCCTGATGGCGGTGAAGACGAGAACAAGAAGAGTCCGTGGCAAAAACGAGAGGAGCGACCACTACTAGCCTTTAACCTAAAATGACACGACACGAAGGATAGTTTACCAAAAAAATTAAAAATATCATAATTGACTCATCATCATGTTGTTCCATACCTGTATGACTTTATTCTGTGGATTGAAGCATTCTTTATTCAAACAATTGAAGCATTGAAAAGACGTCATACAGGTTTGGAATGCCATGAGGGTTGAGTAAATGCTGACAGAAGTCATTTTTGGTGAACTGTCCCTCTAAGTGCTTCCCCTGTGGTCCCTAGCTGGACTGTTGAATGGAGTTGCCTTATGAGCGCAGGTCTGTGCGTGGCTGTTTGCCTGTGGCAATGAAAGCCAAGAAAGCCATAGCACAAATGAATATTGGAGCAGCTCTGCCTCACAACTGAACGAGGACGAACAATCTGAAGTTTTCAAGCAAAACAAAAACAAACAAAAAAAAACAAACATTAAATACCAATAATCTAATGCACAACTGCTATGGCTTTCCAGACATACACTTTGAGCAAAAAATATCGCAAGCCATTGTATTGAAGTGTAATGTTGTTTAAGCTTTATGAGATGCTGCTGTTTTTGAGCAATATGACATCTAGTGGCAACATGTGTACACTGCAACTACACCACTAAGTGTTTCCCAGCACTTATTTTTGGACATTTTATGAGATGACCGGTGGAATGTCTTCCGCATCTTAATGGGTAAAAAAACCAGACAAAACCACTATAATGTACTATTTACAGTCTAAATAGCACCCATTTTTAATTTTGTTATCTTGCATTCATGAATAGAATACAGCTGAAGTTTTGTGAAACCAAATAAGTTTACATAATGCACCATTTGTTCTTGTTAATCAGTCATTTTGGCACAGATTTTCAAATGTGCGTTTCTTTTGACCTTAGGATTACAGTAGGACTTTTGCCAGCATTGCTTCAGAGCAGCAGACCCACCTGTTGAAGAAAAAAAACACTATGCATTGCTTTAAACTTAAGGATCATGTAGCTTTAGATGTCTCTTTTTTATTTTAACCACTGTATTTTAATTTGTTGTTTTGTTATGATTTTTTTGGGTTGAACTTGCCTTAGCATGCGAGTGATGTGGACGGCACATTCAGACGAGGGCTGGATTCATCCACACTCACTCACATAAACACAAACAGCCACCAGCTTTTCTCTCCCAAACTGTTGTTTTTTGTCTTAAGTGCCTTTCTAGTTATCATTTATGTTCATCATTAGATTTACTTTTCCTCTCCACCATTATCAGTTTGTGTCATATGATTTAATGTTTTCCATGTGGCATTACCCCCCTTTGATCTCATTGTATGCGTGTAAGTGTTTTAATGTTGTATCTGGATATGCAGTGGGGTCCGAAAGTCTGAAACCACACTAAAAATCTGGGATTTAGAATCTATTTGAACCATTTTAAGATTTTGTCAGAATTGTAACAATAGTTGATGTAAAGGAAATATTTATGATTTGATTTAGGTGACTAATAAAATAAGCAAATTTGTTCACGCAGCTCAATGTGCTGTTGTCATTAAAGCAAAAAAGCTACTTTTTTCCCCCGACTGCAACTACTTAAATTGTTATAACGAAAGTATGTGTCATTGGAAAAAATATTTATTATAAAAATACATTTTTTGTTCAATCATTCTTACTAGTCGTGTCAGACTTTTGAAACCCACTGTATGTTCAGTACATCTTATGATTCTGGGGCCCATTCTTCGTACGTCGCTGACTCCGTTAGCTGGATTTGATTGTTGAAGATTTGGCATGTTCTTCGAAGCTCATCTCGGAGTTGCTGTCATAGCAACAGGTCCGTAAGCTTAAACCTGCTCGGGAGCAGGCTTATTTCATGTAAACAGGATTGGATAGCATCTTTTTAAGCAGAATTGATACTTAAAATCTGTCCTCTACCACTGCTACTTTATTACAAGAGTACCCCACTAATCCAGGGACAATAATTTAAAAATAATAATCATTTAAAAATGAATTTAAAGATAATATAATGTTGTGTAGTCTTTAATACTACAGACATAGCCAGTTTTACTCACTGAAAGATTTATTCGTCATAAAATGAATACTTCATACTTGTATTCGAGTCTTACACACATGTTATACAGATAATGTAGAGTCGTGCATTAATTTGAGTGATGACAGATATTATGGGAGGGGCTTGATGGAGCGCAGGAGATGCGGATAACGTGAACTTGACCCTTAAGAAACTTTAATTAATGCTGTCACGTAACAAATCTGTTCAAATATAAAATTAAATGAATTGCTAATTACTACATTGAAATAAAAATGTAAAGCCTGTACAAATATTAGAAATCGTGAATATAAATAATTGGGAATCATGTAAAAAATTTAAATAAAATAAAAACATTTCATTTATCTGTTATAACATTTATGTAGTTTTGTTCGCTTGGTTGTTTCTTTAAAGGGATAGTTCACCCAAAAATGAAAAATTGATGTTTATCTGCTTACCTCCAGGGCATCCAAGATGTAGGTGACTTTGTTTCTTCAGTAGAACACATATGAGCGTGTACACACCTCACGCACCGGATGATGTGCGTGCGCCCAAAGACAGTTGGACATAGTGGTGTATTAGAGGTAAACCATGATATAAATACGGTTCGGTTTCTCGCACAAACCGATCGTTTTGTGTCTTAGGATATCAATGTGTCGTCACGAGCCGCAGGGTTTAACTTGGATTTGTCTGTGCATGTTTTTTTTACTCATAGATTTTGTTACCATTGGCATGCATTATACGACTGATAGACTGCAACGGTTGGAGTTAAAAATCATCATATGTGTTCTACTGAAGAAACAAAGTCACCTACATCTTGGATGCCCTGGGGGTAAGCAGATAAACATCAGATTTTCACTTTTGGGCGAACTATCCCTTTAAAGTCCACAAATTTGTCACGTTTTTTGTCAGGTGTCTTTTTTTAGTTATATGATGTCATTACGTTGCTGTCTTGCCACCAGCCAATCGCTGCATTGCTGATCGTGGTTTACAGTATCGATACAGAGCCCCTTTTAAACCAACCCATGAACGTGCAATTATCTCAGATAACTCAATCCAGCCATACTAATCATCAACAACACGATGATATCATCTTGGATGTAATAAGCGATGTACGAAGAACGGGCCCCTGGTCTATTCTTTTGCCTTGTATGTAACTTATGTGTGTACATATTCATTCACCCAGTTGTTTATGCTTGTGTGAGTGTTGCTTGGTGTATCAGTGTGTCTGCTGTAGACATAATATGTAGTGTGTGTATGTACTGATGTAGGACTGAAAGCGACGTATTATTATTTGAAAGCTGTTGAAAGTCTGGCTTGTTGCCTGGGTAACCACTTTGTAAGAAATCTTGTCACTCGGCTCTTCAGCAATCTACTTTGAATGTTTGGACTGGTTGCTTGTATTATAATTCAGGCCTATTATCCCAATAAAGCCAAAAAACCTGATCGACAGTTGAACATTATTTTTCAACACATCCAATGCTGATGGAATACAATCAAATCATAAACACAAGATCCATCTGGGTCACTTTATGCTGGGTCAGTTGTGACCGATCTTGGACTGGCTGCACTGAATTGTTACAGATGTTATAAAAACTTACAGTAACCATTTGTGTTATTTAGCATTTCAATGAAATGGAAAGCACTTACTGGACTTGTTTCAAGTAAGGATGTTTAAACCAAGTGCAACATACAGATATTAATTTTAATCTGCACTTTTAGGACTATGAATCAAGGGTTGATGAAAGGTATATTAATCTCTTACACTAATCCAAGACCATGACAAGAGTTTTATATTACACCGTACAGAATGAGCTTATTGGAATATGTCTGCTTGAAACAAACATTGTCTGTTTTCACTTTAACAGGTAGCTGAATTTGTCCGCACGCTGGATCAGACCAAAAAATAAAATATAATTTTTATTTTCCATATGCAAAAGTATTAAAAACAGACCAAAGAGCAGATGTTTCAGCCCATGCTTTCTTCAGTGCTCATGAGGCAAAAAAGAAACAACACACTTATATAGGCACAATTGCAAATTGTTGACAGCTGATCTTAATCAATGAGGGATAATTGTCATGCCAACAACTTCTCTTTACAAAAAACATGCAAGATCCATCTCTTCATTTAATCCAGTCGGGGTTAAGGATTTCGGCTCAAAAAGCCTCTCTAACAACTTTCTATCACGGTTACCACCTCTCCTATGCAAGAGAACCCTCTCAATGCCCAGGAATTGAAAATCAGAAAAAGAATGTTTTGCGGACTCAAAATGACGAAAAACTGGAGAAGTGTGATCTTGTCTCCTGATAGCACACAATGTTCAACGATTCTAGTGTGCAATGCACGTTTTGTTTTACCAGTACACAGTACAAGGTCAAGAACACATAATTATGTATATCACATGTGTTGTTTTACATGTGATCAATTGTTTAATTTCGTAAATTTTACCCGTTTGTGGCTGTGTAAATTATTTGCATTTTAAATGATGAGAACAGGCAACACAATCCTTCCACGGAAAATTTCCATGGGCATCAGAGAGGGTCCCAGGAGCAGTGGCGGCTCGTGGGTTTTAAAATAGAGGAGGCACACTAATTGTATTGGTCTGGGATCCCTGCCGATTATTATTATTATTATTATTTGTTTAACCACTTTAAAATGGCTTTTTGGTTGCTTTTAGTCAGAAAACGTAAAGAAAACGACACGCATACAGCAAGATAATATAATTTCACTTACCTGGCCTATCACTGTAAGCAAACATCCATCCCTTCTTAAAAGTCTGTGTTAAAAGAGAGCTGCCTGTTGCGCAGTTTAATTAAGCCGACTGCTGTAGCCTATATCCAGCTTTGGCTGTTTTCCCTTTTTTTTTTTGTATATATACTGTTTGAATGACAGCTTGGTAAATCTGTTGGCAATCAAATATTATCAGAAAGGAGGCTAGCCTCCCTACAAGTTTTCTTTTCTCAACACTCCTCAGCGCTGACAGTGAACACTCGATGCTGATTGGCTAATTTGTTTTCCAACGGAGGCATGAGAGCTCAGCATTCCCCTGGCTTCCCCTCCCCTTCTCTATCACCTAGCGGTTATAATTACATCAGCAGATTCGGCACATTCGCGATAGAAACGCGGCGCTTTCACGTTATGGTATTAAAACTGTGAAATTGCAAACAAAAATTACACATTCTGAGACATGAACTGAAATGAATTGTGAATTTTATTAACATTAAATCGCCCTCCTCCCATTTTCACCTCAAAATGATGGGGAAGCTGTGCCTCCCCTGCCTCCCCCGACGAGCCGCC